TATTTTTTTTTTTTTTTTTTTTCTTAAAAAGCTGAGGGACTGACCATGGGACCTGCCAATGCCCATGGTCTTAATACAACGTTCACATATGTTTCCCTCTGATGAGGGCTCTAATATATTTATGTCTTAATAATATTTTAATATTAGATCTAATATATATTTTTAGTTTCTACTGTGGTTATTTAAAGTGTCTGTGTATAGACATAAATCTTTATTAGTAGACACAAATCTTAAATATTATTTTTACATTTAAAGATACTATAACTAATGAGGATGATCTTATAAGAGCAAACACATGCCTATCTTTGTGGATTACGTGTCTTTTGTTATGCTTACCTTATCAAAAACCCTACAGTCAAACTTTTGATTTCCTCTTGCTAGCTGTAATCCAAATCTGATCATATCTCTAATCCTCTAGTTTTATATACACCCCTCTCGTTTCTGACCCCAAATCTCATTCTTTCTCAATTCCTTATCATCATCACCTTTTCATCGAGAGTCATCCCCAAAACTCGAGTCTCTTGATCTTGTTTTGTGGGTTTGTATGGTTCCTTATATCTCTGTCGTCGTGTCTGAATCTCAAACCATAGAGTGTTTGTGTTTATTTCTATCTTCCGTTTCTCTATCATGTTTCTGATTGTTTTCCTTGAGATTTGATTCAAAGAGATACCATGATGGCTTGTTTGCTTGTGTTTTGGATCTCAAAGACAAGTCTGATAAGAAATCCAAAACGTGACAAGTCATCATCATCGGCATATATCTTCTGGTTCCTCTCTAACTTCCTCTCATGAATCTTTCTTCTTTATTTATTAATCTTGAGATGTCTTTAATTAATACCATTGATTAGCTAGATTATTATAAAGTTAATGATGATAGAGAGTTTTATAGTGATGGATTATATAAGTCGTCACTGTTGAAAGATTTGTTTATTTGGTTAACTGATGTCTCTTTAACGCACTTAATTGATCCAGATCACATGTGATAATAGAGTCTCGATCTCATTTGTGGTGTTTTGTTCCTTTGTAGCCAAACCAGAAAGAGTTTTAGAAACCTTATACATTTGTCAAGATTTTCTCATATCGCGAACTTGCACCACTACGAATAATATCAAGGATGTATCAAGGAAGGCTAGACAATGGAGAGGTAACTAAAAAAACCTATATTTCTAAATATGTTTTTTGTTGTTGTTGTTGGTCGTACTTGAAGAAAATAGCTGTTAAAGTACTTACAATACTGGTCTGCAAGGTGACAAAAGAGTTTGTCATGAAACAATTTTTTTTTTTATCATTTGTTGTGTCGCCTGTCTGCAAAACTATTACAACACTAACCGATAAATTTATGTTGTTGTTAGAGGTTCAAACAGTAAAAGACAATTTTAAAGATATTGAAAAACAACAAGCTGTTCAGATTTTCAATAGCTGTGCTTTTTTCTTATCCTTAACCTTGTCTTTTAATGTTTGAACATTTAATGACAAGAAAAAATTTATGAGGCAGGGTTGTTATAGTTTTGCATGCATAAACAATAAATGATAAAACATATTTCATCCGTTTTAAATTAGTTGTCGTTCTAGAGTTAAAATTTTGTTTCGAAATAGTTGTCGTTTTGGATGTTCAATGCAATAATTGGGTGAAAATTCCAACTTTATTCTAGTTTTTTAAATGCTTTGAACAATAAAAAAAAATAGAAAATATAATAAATAAGAATAAAACTGAAACTTTAATTGTTTTCTAAACTTTTGTGCAAAAACTTTAAACGATAACTAATTAAAAACAGGGAGAGTGTAAGTTACATCTGCTCTAGACTACATCATTGAATGAGATGATGATGATGTCGTTGAATGTTATTGAAGAAGAAACTGACCCTCTTGAGAGGAGGAGAGTCGTGGATATGGCTTTCTATTGAGCTGAAAAGTGCATGCATGGTTCTCAACCAACAATGCGTCGGGTCCTCTTTAAAAGTGTTAAAGATGAATAAAATTTATTTGATTACATGCGTCTAAAGCAGTTGTATATGATGTTTTTGTTTGTCACCAGTTATGTTTGGTTGTTTAACAAAATTAATTTTATATATATTGTATATTGTATTCTGTAAGGAGAAATTTTTTTACCTTTTAATATTATCAAGTAAAGAAAATGAAAAAGCCTCAAGAATGTGCATCCAAGAGAATCAGTCAAAGCTTGGACTTCTTCAATCTAGTTCATTGCGCCTTCATACGGCTCGCCCGTACGTCGCCCCTCTAGGTTGGTGGCACGTAAGTACGGTTGGTGGCACGTAAGTACGGTTTATGGCAATCCCTCGGGACACTCGCAGGCTTTGCGGCTTTCGGCATTGAGCTTTCTACGGTTAATGAAGACTGGTTCCATGCCTATTGTAGCACCAAGAAAGAGTACTTAAAACACTTCAACAATCATTTAGTGAGACTTCTTTAATTTTATCTGTTCTCTTGGTTTTAAACAATCTATAAGATATGTTTTCACCACGAATGTTTGATATTAAATGGTCCATAACAAAACTTGCATATGCGTCTTCGAACATGGTTTTGGAATAACTGTCTTAAGTATCAGACAAAAAAAAAATCTGTGATGAAATCTTATAACTCATGATTACATGTAATTTATTGCCATGAAATTTTGTCACTTGTCCTTTGATTTTTAAAAATTCACACAAAACCACTAGATTGTTAATACTACTATAAGAACGAAAGATCTTAACAAGCAAATATATAATATATTGTTTAGAACGTAGATATCATAGTAGGATAGTGAAGAAAATGTTTGTTAAACACGAAGTAGTGACCAAACAAAACCCTAATCAAAACCAATCCTAACCCTAGTTGTAGTTTAATTTAATTTGTTTAATCGTTTTATAAGAAACTTCATTACATGAACATATCTTACTTAATACTTACCCATCCAACAAAAACATTATTTTGTTCTATCAAATTTCCATATACAAATTGAAAAACACAACCAAACTCTAACCGAGCAAAATTTCAGTATAACCAAACCGTAAGAGTTCAATGATTGGTCTGCTAAACCAAACTCATAAAAATTTATTATATGAACAATGAGAAAAAAAGTTTCCGCTTTGCTTAGTTTTTTTCTAATGGGCCATTTTATTGGGCTTTTTCATGGTTATACTTGGGCTTTCTATCGAGGGGAAAAAAGGATGATGATGTCTAAAAGTTTCTATTTAACGGAAACATCGAGAGACGAATTTCAAAATCAGGAGAGAGCCGTTCGAAGAGCGTCCTTGGCTTAGAATTCAAAACCCTGTTTTGGGGTTTGCTTCGTTTGATTTTTACTATTCCCAATCAAATTCAAACCCTAGATTATGCGGAATTGGAATCTCGATTTATATATGCTAACTTGTTTTGATTTTATATAACAGCGTTACTCTCTGATTCATCGTCTTCTTATTGACGGCAGAGGAAATTGCAAGGGCTTCCAGAGAAAATTGCAGCGATTCGATCAGGTTTCTTTAGGGTTTTTTTAGGGTTTTATGTTCATCTATTTATCATCTCTCTCTCTCTCTCTCTCTCTCTCTCTCTCTCTTGTTATATGGATCTTGTTTTAAGGATCTTGTTTCCACTTTGTAAGGTATTGTACTGTACACGAACGTGGAAACTATCAGAAACTCTCTCTAGAGGGTATGGTTTCTCGAGTTGACTCCATCCAAAACTTGGTTTAGTCAATCATCTGAAACACGTTTTAAACTAATTTGGTTCTGTTTCATCAGATTCGATGTTCTGTTTTCGTAAGTGTGGGATATATATTGGTCATGAATACTGACTTTTTTTCTTTCTTTTTTTTAATGCATAGATCTGTTTTCGACTTCTAGAGACTGGTTTTAGTGTTGGTTTCTCTAGTGTATTGACTTGTGCCTTTTCCTCTGTCTTAGTCTCCTCTTTACAGTTTGATGTTATTTTCTCTGTTCTTCTGCAGTGGGAGAGTTATTAGTCGAAGTATAACAATGTGGGAATACATCAGAACTGTTTATTCACTTAAATAAACAGTACACTTGCATAGAATCATTCATGTACAATGAATCATACATAAATACATATTATACTTGCTTTCTTAATTTGCTTGCTTCTTGGCTTACATGCTTAATTTGATCATGCTTCTTTACATACATCTTTTACTTTGTTGCTTATTTGCCTTCTTTTTTTTATCATCAGTATTTGGAAGAAACATCCATATCCTTTGGGCGGTCTAGACTTTCTTGAGGTATGTCTTTGTCTATATCTTGTAGTTGCAACTTATCTTCTCTTTTTTTTTTTGAACTAATCAACTTATCTTCTCTTAGAGTTCATTTTTACTATGTTTTCAGAATGTGTGGTTGATTTCAGAACATCGCTTCTTTAGAAAGGGTTGTATGGTGCGTGAAGGATTTGATTTGCCACTCTCTTGTCTTTCTTGGTACGTTCTTCTTCTTTTGATAACAATCCCTCGTTTGACCCATGACTTTAATCTATTCATATGAGTTGCGTTCTTGGAAAACTCTGAATGGGAGGAAGTCAATGTTTTTTCTTTTTCTTTTTGCAGGTTTATTCTACAAATATAGTTGATGGCATCACATAAAAAGGAGTATGTAAGTGAGCACTCTATCACTATAAGTATTCACAACAGAGATTTTTTCTTTCTATTTCTGATCAATGGTTCTCGTTTTTGTTGCATAACTCTGCCATAATGATGAGGGAAATGTGTCAAAATAGTCACTAGATTCTGAGGTAAGTGATCACTTGCAAATCTTTCTAGTATCAATATATGGAAAAACTATCCATCTGCTTTGACGCCTCTTAGAGGGATATGTCTTTGTCAATATCGTAGTTTCAACTTATTGTTTCTTAGAATTCAATTTGCTATGTGTTTTGAATGAATGGTCGTTTTCAGAAAGAAGCTTCTAGATCTAACATACAAAGCAGAGGAGATGTATATAACTCCTTTAGAATAGTTTGTATGGTGCGTAATGAATTCTGATTTGCCTCTCTCTTGTTGGTTGTTTGTACCCAAGTTAATTTCTTACGATCTTAGGTTTGTCTTCTAATACTTCATTTTATATTCGTAAATCTTATATAAGAACCAAAAACCATACATACAACAGAAGGGACTTATTAGGACATATTTAGTTCCAAGTTTTACCCAAAATATCACCTCAACAGTTATGATGCTAACCAACCATTTCTTGTAGTTCTTAGACTACTCATGACAGCCAAACCAACTTTGACATTATTAATGTGAAGGTAAAAATTAAATATGAATTCTTCAGTTGTTTTCAGGTTTGCAGTTTTCAATGCTTTTGTATCTGTTGCCTAACAATTTGTATTGAAATCAGCTTTCCACACTGTCTTCTTGCAGACTAAAGTGGAAATCTCTATCGATAAAAGGTGTGAAATGAATATAATAGCCCTCTCTGTCCTATCAACTTGATCTTGATCTCTTGCTTATTAGTTATCACCTTTGACTTCATATGGTATGTCTTCAATCTTTATGCTGTAGTTTTGTTTCTCATGTAGTTTGAAGTTCTTGCCTCTCTTCTCCAGCAAGTAACAAGTGAGTATCCTCTCCTTACACTACTTTCTAGCTCGCTTGTTGGGGTTTCTTCATGGTATTTTTTTTTAATGGATTCTTCATTTAAACTGCATGATGTAGATTACTCTGCTAAATTATTTACTTCCCAAACAGTTCTGTTGTATTACGTATGCAGACATAGCAAACGTTGTTGTTCAAAAGGCAAGATAGAGAGAAATTACAAAAAATGGTAAGGGTAAGTGTGAAATGATGACCATAGTTCTTTCAGCGGGAATCTTACATAAAATGTGTCAATAACAACAAACCGTTGACAATTACCTTTATTCTTTTAGCTTGATGTGTGCAGATTGACCCGCGATTCTGATTTATTATGAAGACTTTCGTTCTTGGAATCCTTGGAGATGTGTTCGAACTACTTTGAATGGGAAGATGTTGATGGTTTAATGCATACTTGTTTGGTGTGTTGTGTTTACACTGGATAAATGATCTGATGAAAAAAAATATTTGCAGGTTTACTCTGCGTATCTACTTGATGACTTCCAGTGTGAAACTTATGTGCTGACCCAATTATAAAAAGAGTATGTAAGTTAGCACTCCATGACTTCAACCATTCACAACGAACTTTGTTCTCCTCTCTCGATATTTAGTTCTCGTTTCTGTTGTATAAGCTCTGTTATAATGATAGCTTTGTCTATGAAAGATAATCAGGATAATGGTTAGACAATGAGCTAAATGATCAGTGCCGATATTTTTCTGCATCAATATATGGAAGATGGAGAACATCTACCCATCTGTCTTGACTGTCTTCGGCTATCTGAGGTAAGTAGTAGTTTCAACTTATCATTTTTCGTAAAAGTTCACTCTTTACTATATATTATTCTTAATGTGTGGTGGTAGTTGATTTAAGAACGAGGACTTACATATTTGGTTTCAAGTTCTAATGAAAATGTTATCTTGTAGAAGTATAGAATTCACAAGGCTAGCTAAGTAAGATAACTCCAATATTTTGCTTTTCCGTTTCAAGGTTATCAATGTGTTTTCCAAAGCTGTTTTAATGAGTTCATGTACGTGCAATAGTCAAGATTTATTCTTTTTGACATGGTCAAATTTTTGTAGTGCCTCTTCAGTTATATTTTGGAGTCTGCCTGCTATGAGGAATTGTCAAACTTTAATGTTGCTATGCTTCTGATTCCTTTTCATCATTTAAGGTTATTTTACACTTTATCATTGACTTCGACTTTGTTTAGGATTTTGCTAATTTATACATCAATTTCTTACCACTCTTGCAGGATCTTCTCACAAAACATGACTTTGTAGTCTCCGAGTTTCTCACCGTTCATTATTGAGGTTTGCTTCAGTATTGTTTTAAGGTTTAGATGGAGACATGAGAAGTCTATTCCTGGTTATATAAATCCTATAACAAAATGAAAGAAACATTTAAAAACCTTCTCCTCCTTTAGCTGACGGATTATTTATGTTTCTTTGAGTTCTTGATATTTATGAAAAGACTTTTTGACATCTCCAAATGATATGACAAGAAGGCTGTCACTGAAGGTTCTCTTCGCTACAATTCTTATGTTGGTGCTATATTAGTATCCGTATCACCTTTTAAATAGCGTAGCCAAAAATGAGATTATTCGTGGTTAGTATAGCTTCTTTAAGATTTCCTATTTGCTAACTACTATTTAATAGTATAGGTATGTTTTGGATTCATATATTAACTCTTCCTTGAAAGGTATGTAGTTTGATCAGTCTACATGTGATTAAATGTTCTGTTTTCTAAATGTGGGATATTATTCATGAATTAATTAAAGAAGTGAAGAAATCACTAAAGAACTGGCTTTTTCTTCTCAATGCATATGAATCTGTATATTTGTTTTAGAGACTGATTCTAGTGTTTGGTTTCTCATTTATACTGATTAAATTTCTTTAGTGTGTTAACTTGTGGAAAGAAACACAGCCTCATTCCCTAGAAAGGTCTTGCATTTCTCGAGGTACGTTATTCTTCTTTTGATATTCTTCTTACGGTTTGATGTTATTGGCTCTTTCCTTTGCAGTGAGAGAGCTCATAGTCTAGTGTGACTATGTGAGCTTACATATAGGATTCTTTCAAATCACTTAATGAAACAGTAAAAGTATGCCTGCATCGAATAAATACAGACATCATGGTTGCTTGGCTTTTTATTTTGTGCGGTTACCAGCTTTTTGTTTGCTTCAGTCCTTTTACTTTGCTTACTTACTTGCTTTTGTCCCTTAATATGTTTTTTTTATATGCATATATACTTTCTTGTTTCCGTTTCATGCTTGTGTGCTTGTTCATTTCTTCCATTCTTACTTACTTCTTAAACTGGCTTTCTTACTTGTTTCCTTAACTAAGGAATAGGTTTATGCTTGATTGCTTAAGTTGTTGTATGTAAAAGGGAAAAGTGCTCTGCTGAATGTTTTTGGTTTCTGCAGGTTTACTCTGCATATCTAATTGATGGCCTCAAATCTGATATTTTTTTTGCTGATCCAATCACAAAACAAAAAATAAAAATTCAAAGGACTTTGCTCTCCTCTTTCTGATATATGGTTCTCGTTTCTGTTGCATAAACTCTGTGATAGTGATATATCTTTGTCTATGATAGGTGTTCAAGTATTTCTGGACTTTGAGATAAATGATCACTTGCCAATATATGGTGAAAATCCCATATCCTTTGGGCAGTCTAGACTTTTTTCATGGGGTATGTCTTTGTCAATATATAGTAGTTGCAACGTATATTTTCTTAGAGTTCATTTTACTATGTTTTCTGAATGAATGGTTGATCTCAGAATTGGGCTTCTAGATCTAACTCACAAAGCAGAGGACCATGAAATTTCTTTAGAAATGGTTGTACGGTAAGTGATGAGTTTGATTTGCCAATCTATCTTGTTGATACACAAGCTACTCTATGTATCTACTACATGTTGAGCTCAAATCTCTGCAGGCCCAATCACAAAAAAAGTGAGCATCTAAGTTAGCAGGCCATCACTTAAACCAGTCACAAACAATTTTGTTCTCTTCTTTCGATATATAGTTCCCGTTTCTGTTGTCTAAGCTCTGTGATAATGATATAGCTTTGTCTATGATAGGTGGTCAGGATAATAATTTTCAGGCGATGAGATAGATAGTGCTGATATTTTTAAGCAACTGATCATATGTATATGGAGAATATCTACCCATCTCTTTTGACTGGCTTTGTCTATCGTGAGGTAAGTCTTCTTCAATATAGTAATTTCAACTCTAATTTTCTTTAAGTGTTCACTCTATAGTATATATTGTTTTTAATGCGTAGAAGTACTCACTACTCACAAAGTTAGTAGTGTACTCACTACTCACTCACAAAGCAGAGGAGCAAGTTCCTCCCAAGGTATATGTCCTCGATCTTTAACTTATGCTTGATCTTGTGAGTTTGCTTCAATAATTTGATGTTCTCTTCAATATAGCACATGGTCATAGAATCTGACATTAAAGTCAATTTATCATCTGAAGTAGTTGCAGATTTCACAGTCTGATGTGATATGTGGTCTAATTTCATAGACCATAGGATTCTTCGTGGAATCTTCCAAATCACTTATCGAAGCCAGACACAACACCGGCAAAAATCACATAAACATACACATACGCACACATAACATACATGCATTACATACATACATAAACATACACATACACACACATAACATACATACATGCATCTATACATACATATATTCATGCATCTATTCATTTCTTTCATACTTATTTGCTCCTTTGCATCCATACGTACTGCATATTTTCATTGCTAAACACTTGAAGATATAAAGTAACTATCTTTAGACTTCTGGCTCTAAGTTTGAGAATTTATATCCTAGTCGTTGAACTTAGTGAAGCAAGATTTGTAGCGTTGAGCAAGACCAAACATCCCCAGGGTGCCTCCAGTGTGAAGCATCACTACAATGCTGGATTTCTCATCCTGCGCAAGCTCTATTCCTGTCTCCGAAGCAGCTAAAGTGTACATTGGATCCACCAAAACTCCAGTCTCCTGTGCAACTTTCCGACACATCTCCACTTCTCCTTCCAAGACCTTCCCAAACCTGCAAGAACAAAAGGAGATTGTTAACTGATCTAAAAACAATCAGTCCAACCACTTTATTAAGCTTCAAACTTGGTGGAAATGATCATTCTAAGTATATCTTCAATTGTAAACAGAAGAAGTTGCATGCATACTTTCTCGTATGTCGACGATCTACCCGTTTGATCATATGATTCACATCCAAGCTGTTGTAGAAGACCGATGCAGAAAACTGCCTCGTAAATTCTGCTATCAAGCGATCTTCATGTCTTCTGTAATTTTCGAGTGTATCAGCTAACATCACTGCATTGATCTCCCATGGAAGCCTGAGAAGATTTTAAGTGAGATACTAATCAAGAAGCTAAAAGCTTACGTACACTGAAAACATACAGACACAACGTGTATAGATAAATCTTGTGAACAAAGCCTAACCCTAAAGACAAAGCTGCAACTCCTAAGCCCACAGTAGTTGTTCCAGCATCAACTACAAATTTGACCGGCCTCTTCTTCCCGAGTAAATGATCTTGACACAAGTACTGCACTAACAGAAACATACCTGCGTTGTGACAAAGCCCTTGTTAAACGATAAACTTGGTCAGTTATCTGGTCCACTACCTAAACTATATCCAAAATCGATCTTTACCGAGTAATTCAAGAGCATCTCCAACACCTTCATTAACGATCAAAACATTTCTACCAATAGTTTTGGAACTAGAACAATCATCCATTTTTGCAACATCCCTAGTCTCAGGTCCCTCAACAATGTCTTTAGCCCATAAGACAGAACCGTCTTCCCCAGCGACCAGATCAGCGTAAGTTCTCAGCATTTCCTCCCTATTGGCATACCTCGATCTCGGAATATACTGAACATTTCAATACATAGTAGAAACAAGGTTATAACCAGTCAAAACCTCGGGCTGTTCTCCACGCAGCAGCAAATGATCTTAGACCCCTCTCGGCACACGAAACAGCTGCAATACAAGCACCTGGTTTCTATTTCAATCAAAACCTAATTTCATTTAATCCTCTAAAAGATTCAAACATTTACCAACTGCAGCTGTGTGTGCACTTTGACAACCTCCACATGTAGCCTAACATACAACAAAAGTTCTAAGGTTAAAATCCTGTTCGTTTGTTCAAAAAAAAAAAAAATCCTGTTCATAAAAAACCCAATTGAGAGATAATGTAAAAGAGATCACACTCTCACCAAATCAGTGACTTTATAATCTTGGTAGCAAAGCATCAAGCTTTCTAGCTTTGTTACTAATCACAAGTGAAATGTAAAAGATCATCTCTCAGAATGTAAAAAGAAGATTTTTTCTTGCTCTTTCTTTGACATCTCATCTCCGAGGTGCGGACGAGTGTTGTTGGAAAAGGAGAATTTTTCGATTCCTTTAGCAGAAGAAGAAACACTAATCTGCTGAATTGGAGATGCAGGACTTGAGCAATTTGGATACAAAGCCTCGTGACTCTTTCTCGGAAGAAATGGGTACTCGCTGAAATCGATTAAGACACTGTGAAAACATTATCCCCCTAACGCATTTGAAAATTATAGAAAAAAGTTCAGATTTTTTTCTCTGCAATAGCAAAAGAAACGATTTTTATTTATTTTGAAGACGCAGAGAACAGAGAGGAAGACAAATGAAAGTGACGAAGATTTGATTTTCCGGTCACCGCTAAAAAAGTTGACCGTTGGACCTTCATTGACTCTCGCTTCTCTGCTAAAGAGTGTTTTATGGCGAAACCGCATCCACGCGCGTCTGGTTCGCAAGGTTCTCTAAACGTGAAAGACACGCGCTTATTCCTGAGTTTAGGCCTGTGAAAAAATACGGCCAATGTCTTGTGAGCTATCTTGTACAAAAACGGCCCATGTCTTGTTGATTATGATATGACGTAATCCTCAAGAACCATGAGTTCGTAATCGTCAAGAATCACAAAACTCATGTTATAAACTTATAATATATAGATTATTTTCCAAATACATGGCAAGTATGACTGTTTAAGCTTCATTTTTTTAATATGCTTACACTTTCATGACATCTTTTATTATGATATATTAATATGTTTATATATTTTTATAATATGTTCATTTTGCCGCGTTTATTTAGCATGCGAAACAAATAAAATTAAAATTTCTGTTAAAATACAAACAGTATAATAATTTCATAATCCAATAGATATACACAAAATATGTGGAGATTTTAAAGGATAGCCTTCCTAGAAAACTTTTTAATACCACAAGATATTATTACCCTCTCAAACAAAATATAATTTTATGCCTTTGGGAGCTAAATGTTACACAATAAATAAGTGACTTGGTGCAACGTAACATATTATTTCAAACACATGCTTAAGTTTGTGGATTACGTGTCTTACCTTACGCTTACCCTATCAAAAACCCTTCAAATCTTTGATTTCCTCTTTCCGTAATCCAAATCTTATCTCTCTAATTCACATAAACCCCCTCTCGTTTTCTAACCCCAAATCCCTTTCCTTCTCTCTATACCTTATCATCATCTCTCGTCATCCCCAAAACTCGAATCTCTTGATCGTGTTTTGTGGGTTTGTTCGTATGATTCATCTCTGTCTTCGTGTCTGAATCTCAATGTTGTTCCGTTATTAAGCCCTATTGACAAAACCGTAGAGAGTTTGTGTTTTTGTGTGTGTGTGTCTTCGTTTATCTTCCCTTGAGTTTTGATTTCAATTAGAGAAACCATGATGCCTTGTTGCTTTTGTTTTGCACCCGGTCGGAAAAAGAACCTCACAAACAAGTCTGATAATAAATCCAAACTTGACAAGTCTGATAAGATGATACCCAAACTTGACAAGTCATCCTCGTCGTCATCTTCTGGTTCCTCTCTAATCACTTCCTCTCATAAAATCTTTGTCTTTTATTAATTAATCTTGAGATTAGTGAATCTTTAACACCATTGATTAGATTAAGTAATTGATGATAGAGAGTTTTAATGGATTATATATGTAAGATTTGTTTATGTTGGGTAATCAATGTCTCTTTAATGCACTTGATCCAATCACATGTGATAATAGAGTCTCGTTCTCATTGTGTTGTTTTGTTCCTTTGTTGTCACACCAGAAAGAGCTTTAGAAACCGTGAGAGATGCTGCTGAATACAGATGTCGGATTTTCTCATTTCAAGAACTCGCCACAGCGACGAAAAACTTCAGGGATACCTCTATGATTGGAAGAGGTGGATTCGGACCTGTGTATCAAGGAAGGCTAGACACTGGAGAGGTAACTAAAAAATCTATAACCTTTGTGTGGTTTGCTCTTGTCATTGTAGAAACTGTGAAATCTCTAAAACTGTATGTTCTTTGTTGTTGTTGTTGTTGGTCTTAATTAAAGAAAGTAGCTGTTAAAATGCTTGACAATTCTGGTCCTCAAGGAGACAAAGAGTTTCTTGTGGAAGTCCTAATGCTATCGTACTTGCACCACGAAAACCTCGTGCACTTGTTTGGTTATTGTGCTGAAGGCGACCAGAGGCTCCTTGTCTATGAATATATGCCTCTTGGATCTGTAGAAGATCACATCCATGGTACAAAAAAACACAAAATCTTAAAAAAAATAAAGTCAATAAGAAGTTTATAAGTGTTTACGTATATCTCAAAACCTGTTATTTTGTTTGTTGTTGTTGTTATGTGTGTGTTTTGTCAGATCTCAAAGATGATCAAGAGGGTTTAGACTGGATCACGAGGATAAAGATAGCTAGAGGAGCGGCTAAAGGGCTAGCGTATCTTCACAATGAAGCAGAAAATCCTGTGATATACAGAGATTTGAAAGCTTCCAACATATTGCTAGACGATGAGTACAACGCAAAGCTCTCTGATTTTGGTCTTGCTAAGTTTGGTCCGAGTAAAGATATGTCTCATGTCTCTACTAGAGTTATGGGAACTCATGGTTATTGTGCACCAGAGTATGCCTACAGCGGGAAGTTGACTGCGAAATCTGATATCTATAGCTTTGGAGTTGTGCTGTTGGAACTTATCTCTGGACGCAAAGCTCTCATGGACTCATGCGACTGCACTGATACGTCGAGTCGCTATCTTGTGCATTGGGTAACGCTCTGAGTCTTTAAAGAAATGATTAGGTTTTATTTATGACTATTTATTTAGTACTTTTGCTTCTTTTAGACTATAACCATATAAGAATGTTTTGACTATGATGACCTTAATATTCTGATTTTGATAACGACCTTGTAAGTGTTTCTTGTTTTTTTTTTTTTTAACAGGCACGAACGTTGTCAAGGGCTAATCATATGGATCAGATTGTAGATCCAAAGTTATCAAGAAAAGGCGGTTTCTCGAAAAAACTGATGGAAAGAACTCTTCAAATGGCCTTAAAGTGTCTACATGAAGATGCAAACGCTAGACCAGTGATCACCGAAGTAGTGACTAGTCTAGATTACATCATTGAGTACTCGTTGAGGGGAAGGATACATAGGCGTGGAGGAAGAGTCGATACTAATAGGGCGGGGACATCGACTGAGATGGATGTTATTGAAGAAGAAAGTGACATTCTTGAGAGGAAGAGAGTCTTGGAAGAGGCTTTATCTTGGGCTGATAAGTGTAGGCGAGGCTCTCAGCCAACAGCAACGCCGAGTCCTAATTTAAAGAGTTGAAGATGAAGAAAGTTGTTTTTATTTGCTTAGTGTTACTCTTTCTTTTTCGAAACTTAAAATTGACTGAAATTTCTAGTCCTCTATTTATTCATGACAATTGAATTGATTTTGGTTTTAATAACTTTAGCTTATTTAATTCGGTAGCAGATTTTTTTGTTTTTTTTTTTTTTAATGTTCTACGCATGGAGAAGAAATGTGTCGTCATGGAAGGGTGTAATATGTGGTGAATCTAAAAGGGTCCGGCAGAATTGTCGGTAGTAGAATCGTCATTATAACAGTTCTCATAATTTGCAATAAATAATAAATTAAGAGTTAAAAGAAAAAAAAAAGATTCTGGACCGAAGCCCATACTTCCCCTCAACCCCGAAACTATAGCATGTTATATGATTTCGTCCCAAGCGCTACTCGAACCGGCGACCTTTAAGTTTTTGCCAGAAATCTATATTATAAAAGAGCTATACTAATCGGTTTTAGAAACAAATTTCAATTTGGTTTTTTAAGTAATTCATTTAAATAGACATGTTGTTGTTAGGTCCACTTGTGGTAAAATTCAGAATTTTAAGGCTTAAAGAATATTGTAATGTTTGTTGTTACATAAGAAGGTTGAGTCCATCATAACCCATCCCTATATTGCATGATATATGTTGCCTGTCATCATTTTCTTCTTTCCAGCTTTTTCCCTCGAGATTTAAAAAGATAACATTATTATTTTCTTACTTCATAATCACTTTCTTTTTCTAATCCAAAAAGAGAAAATCACTATTATATGTTTAAGTAAATTATTTTTGAGTCAAAATATCAAACTGAAACCAAATCTGAAAAAACCAAACTTAATTCCTAACTAATAAAATATCGGATCAAATTCTAAAATTTTATATCCCAGAAGTCGAAATATAATTCAAACTAAGAATTGAACATATATATGAAATACTACTATACCTAAAATATATTAACTATATTTTATAATCTAGTTATCTAAAATTACAATTAAATTCAGATGAAAAAACTAAAATTATTATTAATCAATTTATATGTTGTGTTTGCCAAAATCAAACTATATTTTATGCGAATTTAACTATTTATTAGATTTGTCTGAAATTTTAATATACTTGGAACTAAACCAAACACAAATCAAAATTTTTTAAGAAACCTCAAACAGTGAAAAAAAATTTCCACCCAAAAAGGCATACCCAAACAGATTATGTCCATAACCAAACCACATACCACAAATCTAATCCACGCCTAATCACAATTATATTTGCCTAATCAAATTCTTATTTTTAAAAATTATTATAACGAAATGACGAAAGAGACATAGTTCACTTATCATTTTGACTGCGTTTTACTAAGTGAGGAACCAATGAAATAATAACACGTCAGCTTCTGTTACTTTTTATTCATCCCGCTGTCAAAATAAGAAAGATAGAAATTAAAAATAAAACGACGGTCACAGTTTCTTTATTAGTTATAAATTTTTTTTGTGAGGAAAAAAATGGGTGAAGGAACCCACCATTGATATTGGGGGAAGAAGACGAGTAGGCAAAAAAAAAAAAAAACCCTTCTTTTTCGCTGGCTTACTCGTGCCCTTGTCGGCTTACTTCGCCGGAAATCTGAGTTATCCTTTCGCCGGAGACTTAGTCTTCTTCTTCTCTCCTTCTTCCCTTTTTGGGGTTTTCTTACTTACTGGTTTTATAAAGCTTAGCTCTTGGTGACGCCGTCGTGGAGAGAAAGAGAGATTGAAGTAGTATAAATTGAGGTTGAGAGATGTATGTAGTGCCTCCGCCTCAGCGATCTGATTCTGGATCGAATGGTGATTTAAGGGTTTACCAAACTTGGAAAGGCAGCAATGTGAGTTTTTTTTTTTTTTTTAGTTGGGTTTTTTCATATTCTTAAGCATCTTCTGGTTTTGTTCTTCTCGAGGGAGTCTATTTCGTGGGAAAGTTTTTGTTTTGTTAATGGGGGTCTGATTAGCTATGTCCCAATTTCAAACCTAGTTCATATTGGAACTTGGTTTGTGTAGAAAACTTTGGAGAATCTAGCTAGTGCCTTTTAGATAATCCTAGATTTTGATGTCGTTTTCATTGGTTTCCTCTTGGTGGGCATAAGCTGTAGAAGCTTTTTGAGGTGGAATGGTTTTACAAGGCTTAATTACTTTATCTATATATAGCTCTCAATGATGGATTGAGTTACTTTGCTTTGAGATTATATAGTTGACGCTTGTTTATAAGGAGGTTTTGAATACCCTGCCCTTTGAGTGTGTTCATCTGTCAGTGGAGTAATGTTTTTTTTAGATGATTCTTGTTATTGAGAAATGCTTAATTCCTGTAGTTTCTCTACTGGAGTGTTAAAGTTTCTTCCTTCAGTTTGGATTAACGTTTCCTTTGTTGCAGATATTCTTTCTTCAGGGAAGGTTTGTATTTGGGCCAGATGTAAGATCACTGGCGCTGACCATTTGTCTCATTGCTGTACCTGTTACAATTTTCTGCATCTTTGTCGCAAGGAAGCTAATTAATGACTTCTCCGATAGCTGGGGAGTATCAATAGTAGCTGTCGCCGTTGTGTTCACCATTTATGTAAGTATACTCTTTCTCGCATTGCAGATGGTCTCTATAGCTGATGCTTTCATTTTGTATCCACCAAGTTTTTGATTTCCCATATGATTCCGTTTCTTTCCTCAGGATTTAATTCTTCTGCTGCTTACATCCGGAAGAGATCCAGGTATTATCCCAAGAAATGCTCATCCTCCAGAGCCTGAAGCTCTTGATGGTAACATGGATGCAGGGGCTGGCCAGACTCCGCAGCTGCGACTGCCTCGCATTAAGGAAGTACAGCTTAATGGAGTCACATTTAAGGTCAAGTACTGTGACACTTGCATGCTCTATAGGCCACCTCGATGCTCTCATTGCTCTATTTGCAACAACTGTGTAGAAAGGTTTGACCATCACTGCCCTTGGGTTGGCCAATGTATTGGGATGGTAAGTCACAATTCAACTGAAACTGTCTTTAAACTATCCACGTTAACCATCATCTCATATTCTGATGGTTGTTGCAGAGGAACTATCGATTCTTCTTCATGTTTGTCTTCTCAACGACACTTCTCTGTATATATGTGTTTGCCTTCTGCTGGGTCTATATAAGAAAGATTACGGATTCAGAGCATACAACCACTTGGAAGGCAATGCTTAAAACTCCTGCCTCCATTGTTCTGATAATATACACATTCATATCAATGTGGTTTGTTGGTGGCTTAACAGTGTTCCATCTATATCTCATCAGCACGAACCAGGTATGTTGCTACCAATCCAATCATGATTCCTCTATTTTAAAAACTCGGAATCACTGTAACAGTTGATTTTCCTTTGTTTAATGCAGACTACATATGAGAATTTCCGTTACAGATATGATCGGCGAAACAACCCACATAACAAGGGAGTGGTTAATAACTTTAAAGAAACGTTTTGTTCCACAATCCCTCCTTCAAAGAATGACTTCAGAGCTATGGTCCAGCGTGAACCTCCGCTGCCTCCTAGATCCGTAGCTGGCGGTTTTATGAGTCCAAACATGGGTAAAGCCAATGATGACATTGAAATGGGAAGGAAGGCTGTTTGGGCAGACATGGGTCCAGCAATGTCAGATCATGGTGACGGTAAACATGGCAACAATGAGCGGTTACATGTTAAGGACGGTGAGTTAGGCGAGCTATCTCCAGACATTAGGACAACAGTTGATGAACAGAGTGATAGGCCGGGTATGCACCCAAGACGCTCGAGTTGGGGAAGGAAAAGCGGAAGCTGGGACATGTCACCAGAAGTTATGGCCTTAGCAGCCAGAGTAGGAGAACAAAACCAGAACGGCGGAGGAAGCAGCAGCGGAGGTGGTTTAGTAACTGAGAACCGGCCTACATAAATGAATACACGGTTTATAACGGAAGGAAGAAAGAACAGAGCCAAAGTTCGGTATGGTGATTACAGGTTTAGAGAAAATCTGAGGGGAGTTACTTTTTCTTTGCTTTTTCAAATGTGTTTTTTGGATTATTCAGCTTAAAACCAGTCTTGTGGTTTGTGGTTTGGGGAGGGTAAGAACTTGCTAATGTTCTTAATTTGGAAAGTGTTTTGTGTGGGGTTAGGTTGGCTTTGTTGTGGTAAGCAAAGGTTGAATTGGTGTGTTGTTTGTATGAGTGAGCTTCTTCTGGATTTGTTTTTTTCTACTTTTCTGTTAGCCATGTTAATACATTTAACCAGAGATCTATGTTTTAAGGTAGAAGAGAAAAAATGTTATATAGAAACAAAAAAAAAATTCTCTGTTATTATCAAGAAGCTGAAACTGAATTATTAGGACATGTGGACCAAAAGACAGAACACACAGAGACATAATATTATATAACAATGGACCATAGTTCAATTGAAATGTCACTGTTATCATTTAGTAGCCTCTGCTCCTCTTTATTAGGAACCTTACTTGTGATAGAACCACCATGTGAGAGAGCTCTAAAACCTCTGAAACTATTATTTTCAACTTTACCTCTCAGTTCTCTAAATTCACTTTCAACATCAGAGAGCCCTAATTTTTTTTTCATTTAGACACTCATTACACCAAAAGCCTTCAATGGCAACTTAACCGAGTGAGTTTCTTGTATTTTTGCTATCTCTCTCTCTCTCTCTCTCTCTCTCTCTCTCTCCCTTGAACACTGTGGAGGCTTAAGGGTCCATCACATGATAGAGACAAACTCTTCTGTTTATATAAGAGACAGCAACTCTTAAATACCAATTTATGCAGGTGGGTTTCCTTTGTCTTCTCTTTAAACCCTTGTTAGCTGATAGAGTTGGGGTTTCAAACTCTACTGCTCTTTAACTCTTTTTCTCAATCTCTCTGCTTTTTTTTTTGAAAGGTCTCAAAAAGATGTATAAGAATCAGTTGCAAGAGCTAGCACAGAGAAGTTGTTTCAATCTCCCATCATATACATGCACAAGAGAAGGACCGGATCATGCTCCAAGATTCAAAGCTAGTGTAAACTTCAATGGTGAGATATTTGAAAGCCCGACTTATTGTTCCACTCTCAGACAAGCTGAGCATTCAGCTGCTGAAGTTGCTCTTTGTGCTCTCTCTTCCAAGGGTCCTTCAAAATCTCTAACTGCTAAGGTTCTAGTAAGTCTTTAGTTCCCTCCCTTAAAGCATGCAAAGTTTTTTCTCATGTTTCCAAAGTGCTCATGATGTTTGGTTGTTTCTCCAAGGATGAGACTGGGATCTACAAGAATCTGCTTCAGGAGACAGCACATAGAGCTGGTCTTGATCTACCGGTTTACACAAGTGTGAGATCAGGACCTGGTCACATCCCAACATTCTCTTGCACTGTGGAGCTTGCTGGAATGAGTTTTAAGGGAGAATCAGCAAAGACTAAGAAGCAAGCTGAGAAGAATGCAGCCATTTCAGCTTGGTTCTCCTTGAGAAAAAGTACCCAAAACAAAACCTCAAAACTCCAATTATTTTTACTCAATCTTAGTTGTTATGTCTCTCATTTTACATATTCACACACAGTGCCAAGCTTGGACCCGCTGAGAGGTGAAGAGAAGGAACAAGAGGTAGTTGCAAGAGTCCTCTCAAGATTTAGACCCAAAGAAGTGAAAAGAAGAGAACCAAACCAGTCAAGAAGAAGAACAGTCATCAGAACAATTCGTCAAAACACAACAACAACAACAACCACAAGAGACTTGTTGTGTGAGAAACTCGGATCGATCAATCTGTATACCAATAAAGCTTCATCTTCATCACCATCACCATCACTACCACTACCACCGAGATTCTGGCCTTCAAGAACAAATCTCCCACAACAAGAATCCAAAGTCAAATCATTGCTAGAGAAGTGTCAAGAATACGCAGAGAGGAAACAGAGCCCAGATTATCCCATCCCTAAGACAGAGATGATAATCAAATCGTCTCCTTTATCATCATCACTGGAGAAATCCTACTACAGTAAGCTTTTGCCGTTTTCAATTTCTGGGTTAAACAATCAGAAACTAGCTCCAGCTGTTCACATCAGATCAGTGATCCCAGTTTGTTCAGCTCCCCCACCAAAACCCAAACCTAACCCTATAAACCCATCATCACCATCCACCACAAGGGAGCTGGGAATCAAAAGCCAAGAGAAGACTCTGAGATGCAAGAATATCGAATTAGGATTAGAATCAAAATCTCGATCGAACCCATGATTGAAAGGTCGTGTCTTTAGATAAACCCAAGATTGAAAGGTCGTACCTTTAGATAAACCCATGATTAAAGGTCGTGCCTTTAGATAAACCCAAGTTAAGGATTTGGCAATAGATTAGTGAAAAGGGTAAAAGACAGTCATGGGTTTCTGTTTCTGTATGTTCGTCGTGTAAACTTGACTTTTTTTGGAGTTTGTTTTTTGAAATTTTACGGCCTGACATGAAATCAATGTTCTGAATTGCACGTAGAACAAAAAAAAAAGAAATGAGAGAGAGGGTCAGAGAGAGAGAGAGGGAGCAATAAATGAAAGGAAGAGAGTGGGGAAGAAGGTGAATTAATGGCGTTTGTTTTTCGCCATTAATGCGCCGATTGCTCTGCTTCTCCTTCTTCCTCATTCATTGATTTGGCTCTCTTCTTTTTTTTTTTTTTTTTTTAACATATTGTGTTCTTGTCGTTTTTAAAATAAAACTATCGGTTATGTCAAAATATAAAAGCAAGAAAATCAAAAAATTATGTTGTTGTTGTATTTTAGTTTAACACAAAACCAATTTTTGTAACTAAAGAAGATACTACAACACCATGGCCTAGCCAATTTAACTGAAGACTAATCAGTAATTTTTCTCTGTATCAACTGACTTAGTCATTTTATCATCATGTGTAACACTACACCAACCAACTAGTGATTCTTCTTTCACTTCATAAGTTTCTGATTATTAACATCAAAAGTTTAAAACTATAAAGTATAAACTGAAACTTTTAATTTTAAAAATATGCATTAAAGATCTTAAAAGACATTTAAACCGAAGAGAAGTATAAGTGATGATATCAACTTTTCTTCATCTAGCTTAAGGGTTTTTCTTAAAGAGGTTTTATGGTTTTTTTCTAAGATTTTCTTCCCCAACATTTTTCTATCTTGGAATGGTTTTGGGATTAGCGGGGTTTGCTATGAAAAGATATGGAATAAATAAGGGTTAATTGCGTGTGCACACACTTTCAAAAGTTTAATTACACGATGACACACTTAGGGGGGGTTATTGGGAGGATGATTTTAAAAGAGTTTATGGATTTCTAAAGTTTAGAGATTTTAAGATTCTCAAAAAATTTTGTGGATTCTAAAATAATGTTTACCCAGATTTCTAGAGTTTAATAGATTCTTCATATGATAGATTCTATAAATACTTGTGAGAATTGCAGTATTTTGAAAGTTGTTTTTAATGACTAAATATGTAAGGAATCATTAAACCAATAACACTAGAATTTGATAGAATTGGAAAATCAATAAATACTCAACTTTTTGAATAACAAAGGATTTTAAATAGAATTACAAAATACATACACCAATAACAAGAGATTTTATTAGGAATCTAAGAATCTATAAACCAATAACAATGGAATCTTAAACTCTAAAAATCTTTAAAAATCATTCTCCCAATAACTCCCCCTTATAAACTCATGGTGCACTTTGGAAAAGTTTATTTACTCTTTCACCCTCACTTTGACAACATATTAACTCATTTGCCATCCTAACTAAAATGTCACACAACTAAACACTTACGTTCTTTTTCTCTTCATTTTCTTACTCCTCCTCCTTTTCGATTCTTTCCCTTTCTTCCTCTTTCCCTTTCTTCCTCTCTTTCTCTTTCTCATTTTTTATCCTTTTTTATAATCATTTTATCTTGTTATTGTAACAATATTTTATATTTATTTTTGTACAATACTCAAACTTTCTATTTTTCTTATATTTGAAGATGCATTTTACTATATATTTGGATGAATTATATTACATATATTATCCATTTTTAGTTGACCATTTATTCGCTGATAATTGGATGGTCAAATGTAATATCATTTCTGGATACATACTTGTGTTTTGATATTTTAACAACATGTGGTTACTTTTTACATGTTTTAGTATAAATGAGTGCATATGTACATGAGAACATTCCAATAAAAATGAGTGTAAATGAGTGTGTCTCTGTACATGTGAACATATGGACAATAATCATCTATCCAACGTCGAAGATGAGAGTATTAAGAATGATTGGAAGCATTTTTTGGACAGAATAGGTCATCGGTATCCAAAAAACCTCATCCACATGATCATTTTTTGGACAGAATAGGTCATCGTATGAATTATATTATGTATATTATCCATTTGAGGTTGACTATTTGGTCGCTGATAATTGGATGGTCAATTGTAATATCGTTTCTGGATATACATACTTGTGTTTGGACATTTTAACAACATGTGATTACTTTTTATATGTTTTAGTATAAATGAGTGCATATGTACATAAAAACATTTAAATAAAAATGAGTGTAAATGAGTGTGTCTCTGTACATGTGAACATATGGACAATAATCGTCTATCCAATGTTGAAGATGAGAGTATTAAGAATTATTGGAAGCATTTTTTGGACAGAATAGGTCATTGGTATCCACAAACCCTCATCCACATGATCACAAAGAGCATCGTCACTACCGATTTAAATCTGTAAAAACGAAAAACAAAAAATAAAAAAAACTCAGAAGCACTTACCTAGATCTGTCATCCAAAGTGATTGAGAAATTAGTATATACAAGTTTAACATAAACGAGAAAACTCAGAAGCACTTACTCTATTCAAGTTTAACATAAAAGAGAAGACACTTACCGTGATTTTGTATTCTCTATATGTTGGAGAAGACGAAACAGCTATAAACCACTACGTTTTATGGGTTTATTATATTCTTGGTTAATTAAATTATATAATTAATAGTAACTAAAACATAAACGAAGTTACGCATCAAACGGACGACGACGTCGACAATTAGAAATAGACGAGACACAGTTTTACTTTATTAGGACAGTTTGTGTCTTTTTTTGGCACAAACAGTGCAAAAAGTACACAATAATTGGAAAGTGTGTCTTTCGTAACTTCTCCCCCTTAAAGTGTGTTAGGTGGTAAATCACCCAATAAATAACCTACTTGACTAAAAAGGGTTTTTTTGGTTCACTAATTTTAGCTTAAGAGATAAGAATCTCCTATTAAATTGGTGGTTCTTTTGTTTTGTTTGGTTAATTACAAAGAAAAATAAAAAATGTTTTGATGACTTTCTTGTTTCTTTAGTGTCAATGGACACAACGTTATCTTCCTCTGACTAAACTTTTTCTCTGGTTAACTATTTTTTCTTTTGTTGCCTTTACCTTTGCTCTCCGGTTCTTTCCTACAAAAATGGGTTGTGGTGTTTCAAGGCCGGAGACAGATGAAGGAGGAGGAGAAGAAGCTGAGGATTTAAAGATTATGACTCCGCGAAGATCTATCGGTAAAGATAGCGAAACTGCTGATAGATTCATATCGAATGATAAAGAACTTCTTGACGACATATCAACACATAGTAAAAATTCCAAAACCAATGGTGAAAATACGATTAAAGAGGAGGAAAATGAATGTAAAGATGAAGAAGAGAAAGGAAACGAGCTACAAAATTCGCCTGAACCTCCAAGTTTTCGAATTTATTGCGTTTTCCCTAGAGATTCTAACGACGATGACAGTTAAGTTCGTTTTGTGTCTTAATGTTTCTTATATATAGTTTTTGGTAGTAAAGGGACTAAACTCTTAACTACATTTGATTGATCATACTAATTGTCATATATGTAGAAGACGTCGTTGATGACTTGCAACAAAACAAGTACATTTCGGACGAAAACAAGGTATATATATTATATAGTACACAAAATTTAAATGCTCGAAAAGTTGAGTTTGGTAAAACAATAAAAACTCAAGTAACATACTCGGATACAAACTTCATATGCATGTAACATTTTTTTCCTTTTTTGGCATGCATACTGTATTTGAATATGAACCCACAAATATATGTAACGCACTAATGCTTTTGGAATTAATGTTCTTGATTAAGGATCAGCAGAAAGGGAAGAAGAGGTCACAAGCAGCAGTAGGAAATAAAATAAGAAGAAGGTTTAACGATGTCAAAAAGCTTCTAATACCACCAAATGTACCTTCCTCCACATCTACTCGCGGTTGATTCAGTTGGTTTTTTTACATTTCTTCATATCATACAAATTGAGGTTAGAGTGAAACTGAACTATGGAAAAATTCAGATGACTATCATGATAGTGATCACAAGAAGCTTTGGATACTTCTCTCTCTTTTTACCATTCTTTCTGATTACTTCTTCCAAATGCGAACAAAATATAGTTACAATCAAAAACTCAAACACCAAGATTGTATAATTCCCAAACGCTAGATTGAAACTCAACATCTTTAAGCATATATATATCCATAGAAAATAAAAAGAGAATAAAAAGACCCTCCTAAACATATTATTGTTATATGTATCACTTGAATTGAAACTGACATGAATTTGTAGCCTTGACAACACTTTTCAAATCATTGACCACCACAAGCCTATCTTTAGAACGGATTTGTTGACGTGAAAAAGTAGCCCTCTTCAAATGATTTGTGTTACTTAAGATATATTTAGCCACTTCAACCTCAACTTGCCGTTCCCATCCGTAGCCTTCCCACATGAATGTCTCAAGATGAAGCAACAAGCATTCAGGAACATTCTTTGGTTCATTCCATTTTCCAGCAAGAAAATACTTCTGAGTCGACGGCTGAGGGAGAAACGTACAATGTGTGTTAGATCAGCAAAAACTAAAACCAAAGCTATAAATATTGCTGACATATATGAGTACACACTGCTTACAGCTTTGAGCTTGAGGAATTGCAAATTAGGAGAACAAACTAGCATGAGGGTAAGAAAATTCCACCATCCTTCCTTATTTATCCAGAGCTCCAAATAGACAAGCTGGTTGAAGATGTTACGTGTAAGAAACGTCATCTATATGCATGAGACAGTATTATTATATTTATATAGTTAGTACAGAAAGAATAAGTAATAGCAACTCAATCCAATTACGTACAAGACAAGATACAAATGTACCTCTAAGGGTGATAAAGCCAAGGAAAGACGTTTAACTGAAGTTAGAGATCCCATAAGCTTCTCGGAGACATTATAAATACGTGCCTCCACCAACTCAGGTAAGTTCTCAATCTTCAGACACGACTCAGGAGTTTTGAACCCGTCAAGTTTCAAGTATTTCAAAGAAGGAGCATTTATCACATAGCTGTTATGATCATATCCGTAATAGACATCATAAATTGATAGTCTCTGTAATGATGGCACTGCAATATTGAAAAAATTCACGCTATTACCTAGACTTCTATGCATTTCCAAATTTTCAAGATTAGGGCAGCCAGATAAAAGGTTAAGAAGGGATTTCTCGTCCATGAAGTCTATGTAGTGGATGTGCAGAGTTCTAAGGGATTTCATACACACTGTTGAAGGGACATCCATAGTAACCCGAGTCAAGAGTTTCAAAGTCTCTAGTGTTTCACATTTATACAAGCATTTAGGTAATGTGACATGCTCGTTGTCAGAGCAAACTTCGAGTACCAACTCACGCACATTGCGGGCTAATGCGATTCCAATCAAGATTCCAGTATCCATTGCATTATGACGTCCATCTAATTTAACATTGAGATGAAAACTCTGTAAACCCGGAGCCTTGTGAGATAGCAAACACCTGAAAACATTCCCGAATTCGCGTTCGATTCTGTGATCAAACTTGAGGTTACGCAGCATCTTCCAAAGAGACTGCCATTGTTTAGACAAAACACTCGTGGATATGGCAACTTTTGTATGAAGCAAAGACAATATCCGCAGAATCAGAGCTTCAGGTAACTCACTGATCCTGTCCTCAGTCACAACACCTCGGTTCTTTATACTCTCACCATCTCTTTTGCTGTCAAAATTCCAAGACGAACCAAGAACAAAAGATAGAGTTAGGGTTTTTAGCTTTAATTACAGTTACAAAGCCCTAAAACAGACAAAGAGACCAACCTTTGTTTCATCAGAGAATTATGTTAAATCCTTATCACACTTTACGCCCTCCAAACAATGCAGATAGTGAAGGTTGAATTCGGATGATGAGACTGCTGCGGCGTAGAGAACGAGCTAGGGTATATACCTAATGTCGTATGTCGATGTCACCATCATAAGTTAATTTAATTTTAATGACAAAATTACAAAACATTGTTTTCCATTACATATTTTTATTTTATTTAAAGAGAGGAATATTGGTTATTTGTATTTTTATATATATCCAAAACCGAACGGAACCCGAGTAAAACTTGAACCCAGCTACACGTTCAAACTCTCGCGGTGTAACCGTGTAAGAATTGATGATAGATCAAGTCCTAATAGCTCAATTGGTAAATATTTCTGGCAAAACTTTAGAAGTCGCCAGTTCAAGTCACGCTTGGGACGAAACCATATAACATGATCTGGTTTTGAACATGATGGGATGTATCGGTTTCGGCCCAAAACCTCTTTGATTATTCAAAGAAGAAAGAATTGATGATACGTGCCATTGTGCCAACAAAGGGAACCTTTGATTCCTATCAATCAATCTAGTAAGCTCCAATGTTACTTAAAAGTTAAAACCAACCAACGCGGTTTGTTTTTCGTAAACAGTTCCTCCATGTGACCAACCACATACATGGTATGATGATTGATGATTTTAATTCAATGATAAGAATTGAAGGCTGGCATGATGAATTTGAAACCCTGATCGACCACAGTTTCTAATTTCTTAAGACTCTCACAAAGACCCTCGTCCAAGTGAAGGAAACAAAGATTTGGAACATGTTTTTTGGTTGATTCCATTTCTTAAAGGCCACAAGGGGATTTACAAAATAAAGATTTTGGCAATTGCAAATGATATCATATAATAAAGGTGTTTAAGGGATTTAAAATGTTTTGAAAGGATTTACAAGACTTTTCAAAGGTTTACAAGAGTTTTTAAAAATTTTATATAGATTTCTTACAAAGTATATAAGAAAAATTTAACTTTCCCTTTATTGGTCCACTTCATATCTATTTTTTTTAACTAAACTTAAATTGTATTAATTAAAAGGTAACAAGAAAAAATCACAAATTTCATGTGAGGATTTAGCATATAGACTTCATACTTCTTAGTATTTGGTTTTGTTTTATAACACGACAAACATTTCCTATTTAAATTTATCTCCAATATAAATGACTTTCTACTTCTTTGAATTAACTTTGTGTTGTAACATATTTCCCAACTTTTACAATATTAAGTTAAGTTATGTATTAAAGTTGTCTGCTGAAAAAAAAAAGTATAAAAGTTTTCTCAAATTGTCTTAAAATTAGCCATTATGTTTATAACACAAAACGGAGCTAGTGACATGTAAAATTTTAAGCATTATAAAGCCAGAAATTCAATAAACATCATACATTCTTGTTTCATTCTTATTCGATTATTATTAATTTTAATTTTTAGGTCTAGAGATGACAAGAAGCTAAGCAAATCTCTCTAGCGGTGGGGATAAAATCAAGCAACCAACATTTAACAGTTTGTACCCCTTTCAAATGGCAACACCAACAGTCCATTTTATGATGTCTTTCTTTTCGACAGTCTGGTTCTGCTTTCCCAACATTCACTCCTCTCTCTATCCTGCCACCACCACCACCTACACCTCTATCTGGGTCTGGTTCTGCTTTCCCAACATTCAGACTCATCACTCCTCTCTCTATCCTTCCACCTACACGTTTATTCGAATAACACAATCACACGACTTTGACCATCGATCATTCGATTTATATGATTTATATATAAACTAACTTAATTATACTTACACTCATGTAAAGCCAATAGGGAGAACATAACAATGCAGATTAGAACTATTTGTGACGATTTCATGGTTTGGAATATTTCTCAAAGGATGATTCTTATTTGTTTTGTTTTACTCAGTTGTTGTATTTCTAAATACCAAGGACATATATATATATATATATATATATATATATATATATATATATAATTAATATAGTAATAGTAGA